TTTTTTTTTTTTTTTTTTTTTTTATAAACGTCATACTGGTCAGGTAACATTTATCGTATTCATCAAGAGGTCGTATAGAAGCTACTATTTCAACCTTTCCTTCCTAACTCCAAATGAATAATCTTGGTTTCCAAAGAACAAGGAAACCCACGCTGTGTTTATTTGCCAAGGTCTCGATAAAGAACTGGTTCTGAGCCCCCCTTCCCTCCCGCTAAGTTCCGGCTGAACAGCGACCAAGAAACAGGTGGTCAACGAACAAAAGACTATCACCGGACCACCACAACACCTTTTCGAGTTTATCCTTCAAACAGGAACCCCACACGTAAAAGAAAAAAAAAAAGGATCGCGAAACGTGTTGTGTAATTTAGTTAGTTTGAAAATGCGTGTTACCCAGCAAGAACAATAATCACGAAACACATTAAATATACAAAGGACGTATTTTATAAATCCTCACGTGAAAGGAAACCGAATAAAAGGAAACCGAATAATAAAATATTTAATTGAATTTCCAAAGCTTCCCTACTTCGATTCTGGTGTCTTAAGTTATATTTTTTAGTTTTGCTTAGAGCGTCATTTACATCACTCAGTTGCTTATACCCCTTTAGAAATAAAATATTAACCGTGTAGCCTGAAACAAATATGATACCTATATATATTCTTACTATAATTAGCTTAAAAGCAAAGCTTTTCTCTCCAAATAAAGTGCACAGTGTCAACTAATGTTTTATATTTATTTCTGTTTTGTTTTTTTATTTCGAAAATTCGATTATCTGTTCATTGTCCTCCAATAATTTGGAGCTGATAGACTAGAAAAAAGCAACCAGCACCAATTCTTGGGCTACTCTAATTGAACAAGTGGGCATTTTTGTCTCTCTTGCAACGTATCCATGTCCAATAAAGAATAAGCATATTAAGTTTTTTGAACAACCCAAATTATATATAAATTCATTTAAATATTTTTTTTTTTTTGCAATTTTGCAAAAGGAATTTAAGTAAAAATTATTGTAACT